GCTGGAGCTGTTGTCTGACCACAACCGGGGAGGGTGGGGGGGGGGGGGTCAAGGCTTCCGTTTGTCCCTCCACTCCGGCCTAAGGGCCCCTCCCCCCCTGTGGGAGAAATACTCGGGGGGGTGGGGGGGGGGCTCTGCGGCGCGAGGTTTGTTTGGGGGGGGGGGGGGTGTGACTTTCTCAGGCGTGGGTTGGGGTGTGTGTGTGTGAGACTGAGAAGGTGGGGAGGGCTTAGAGCCACCTTGTACTTCGCAGGGATAGAAACCAGGAATGGCAGGAGTGCAGCACCGACCCCCCCCCTCAAAAAAAATCCTCGGGCAGCAAAGCCCCCCCCCAATAATTCCGAGTATTTCTGCCACAGGGAGGGAGGGGCCCTTAGGCCGGAGTGGAGGGACAAACGGAAGCCTTGAACACCCCCCCCCCACCCTCCCCGGTTGTGGTCAGACAACAGCTCCAGCCGCCTGGATGTGCAGCCGCCCGGACGGGCTGCTTTGGGGCCCTTAGGCTGTGGAGCGAGCCGGCCGGATTCCTGCCCAGGCGTGACGGGAAACGGGGCCAGGCCTCCTCACGCGTACCTGGGCGCGCAGAGACCGGGGGGGGGGGGGGCGGGGGGGGGGGGGGGGGGAGAGAGAGAGAGAGAGAGAGAGAGAGACGGGCGCGCGCGCACGCGCACGCGCACCTCCGGGAAGGGAGATGGCGCTGCCGATTAAAACAGGCGGGGGAGAACCGGCGCTATCTCCGCCGAGATCTCGGACGGGGAAAAGCAACTTTCGCTTCTGCCTGCGGAGCGCGGGAGCCCCGGGCGCAAGAGGCGGCGGCGAGGAAGCCGGGCCCCGCGGCGGAGGGCTCCCCCCCCCCCCCGTCCGCCCGTAGGCTGGCATAAGCGAAGTCGAGAGGGGCCAAGGAAGGACCAGCCCGGCAGGGACGCCGATTTGGGGGCTTTAAATCCTTGGACAGCCCTCCTGCCCTCCGATGTAGCCATTTGGCCTGGGCAAAGGGCGGCGGGGGCGGGGGACGGAGAAGAAGCCCCCCCCCCATCAGAAAGGATAAAATGCAAAACTTTTTTTGATTCTTTATCCTCTAAAGGCCCCCCCCCCCCCGCCCCAGCCTTTGGGGCCTCCTTTTGTGCCCCAGGAAAGCCAGCCGGGCCTCTCGCATCTGCAGCCAGCGGTGCTGCTGCTGCTGCTGCTCCAAACCTGGCTCGGAGGGTCATTTTATTAGGCGTGCCTGCCCGGACAGTTTGCAGAGGGATCCGCTGGGAATCCTGAGCCGCTTCGGGAGTGGGGGTGGGGACTGTGCCAAGAGGCCTGGTCACCTTCCTCCCTGGGGAGGGGTTTTTGCCAAAGGCCGGAAAGGTCGACGTCCTCTGGAACCAACCGAACTTGTCTCGAGATGCTCGGAAACCCGCTTCCTGCCCTTTGGCTGCCTGCCTTGGGGACAGGATGGAGGGAGGGAAGTGAAGCTTCCTTCCGGAATTACGGAGCTCCCGTGCCAGGAGAGCCAGCCAGACAGCCCCCAACACACACACACACACACACACAACCTCCCCAGCAGGAGCCTGGTGGGTCTTTGGCCTCGGGCAGGGGAGTTGCCTGCCCTTGAGGGGCACCTGGGGAAGAAAGTCCGCATAAAGCAGAACATTCCAGCGCTGATCGTCCTTGGCGGAAGGGTAACTTTAAACACTGGTTGCTCGAAAGCAGAAACGGCCCCTTCCTAACTGTGGGGCTTGGCGAGCCAAACGCAGATGGAAAGAGTAACGCAAGAGAACCTCAGCTTGTTTCAGTAGCACCTTCATTTATTGTCCTTAAAAACTGGCAGCTGAACGTCTGAACGCGTTAAAAAGACGGATTTGACGGGCTCTCGCAGCCCGGCTCAAAGCCTCGTTCTATCTTCCTTGCCGGGCAGCATCTCATTCTGTGAGGAGAGGGGCCCTGGGCTCTACGGGGGGGGGGGGGGGGGGGACAAGAGACAAGAAAGCCCCCAGAGGAAAGAGAGAGAGAGAGAGAGAGAGAGCAGGCTGCCGCCCTCCAGGCTGAAGGGGTCCAGATTCCTCAGAACAGCCGAAAAAAGGTCTCCCTGTGGGAATCTCCTGGCGAAAAATCAGAGGAGAAACGGGGCGGGAGGGCTGGCTGGCTGGCTGGGATGAAGGGAGAGATTTCTTGCATGGGCCTCTTATCTCCAGAGAAACAGAAGGACCTCCTTTGTGCCTCTGTGTGTGTGTGTGTGTGTGTGTGTGTGTGAGAGAGAGAGAGAGAGAGAGAGAGAGAGGAAGAGAGAGCATACAGTTCTACAGCAAAAGCTCCAAGTTGCACTGTGCAGAGGTAGGTGTGAGTGTGAGTGTGTGTGTGTGTGTGTAATCCCCCAACCTGCAAGAGAACGTTTGGTCCCGGGGTCTGGAATGCTGCTAAACAATCCACCTCACACCAGAGGCAGCGGGCGATGGGGGCCCAACTTTGCCTGCAGTGGGTCTCCACCCTGTGGGACGGTGGTCCGTGCCAAAACAGCACCGGAGGGAAAAAAGCCGGAAATCCTTCCAAAGAGCCCTCTGGAAAAGGGGGGGGAGGGGGGAGTTTGCCTTGCCAACATGCCTTCCTGCTGTGAGGGGGGCTCTGAGGGGGGTTCACCCCCCCCCCCATTCCTGCGCAGACCCCACGGACAAGCGCCGCTTCAGCTCTCTTCCGGCAGCTCCAGCACCTCCCTAAACTGGGAGACCAGGCGGCCCAGGTGAGAGCCCTCCCAGAACACCTGGCCGCACTGACTGCAGCAGTAGAAGCAGTCCAGGTCCTCCTTGCACAGCACCCCGGGCGGAACGGCCTCGACTCTCAGGCGGACGCCCGGCGGCAGCAGCAGCTCCGGGCCTGCCGCTTCCGGGGTCTGCCAGCCTGGGCTGCAACTCTGGGGCTCCGGAGTGGCGGTGGCGGCGAAGGGGCCAGGATCTCCCAAACAGGCCTCTGCAAAACAAAAGGACAGCTCTTAGACTTCCCTGTTCTTGTGGGGGGGGGGTCCCCATTCCTGGCCTCCTCCCGAGAAGACTAAAGAGAGAGAGAGAGAGAGAGAGAGAGACGGGAGGGGTGACCGAAGTGGAGTCCCTGGATCCAGGCAGCCCTGCAGGGTGCAGAGGGAGGGGACACCAGGCTCTGGGGGCAAAGATCTGCCCCCCGCCCCCCGTTTGCAACCTCCTTCTCTCAGTGCAAAACATGCAGCTGTCCCAGGAAGAGACTCCTCAAGAGGCGGCCAGGTGAGAGATCCTGAAGCGTAAACAGAAAATGGGAAGATTTCTGCGGAGGCCTTTTTACGGTGTGACATCAACCACCACCGGCGATGGTGCAGCAGCGGAGAGAGAGGGAGGGGGGGGCGAGAACTCCGCTGGTGACTCGTCTCCCCCACTCCAAGGGGGCTCCCCCACCGCCCACCAACTTCTCCAACTCTCCCTTCCAAAAAAAGAAAACCCCCTTTGTCTCTGGTGAGCCGGCAAGGAGATGACCTTTTGGCGAGGGGCCCTGGCTGGCATTCTGTGCGCTGGCGGGAGGGAGGAGGAGGAGGGGGGGGGGCTTTTCCAAGGGAGGAGGGCTTTGAAAAGAGCTCCTTGGAGGGGCGGGGGAGGGTGGGGGGGGCTGCAATGGGACGGGGAGGGGGGGCCTTTACAAGTCCCTCATTGACAAACGGCCACTTTGAAGTGCTTTTGTCTCGGTGACCCTTTGAAGTGTCCCTGGCAAGGAAGGCCAAACGGGGCCCCGTCTTCCTTTCCTGTGTAAAGTCACGACAACATCAACAAACACCCTCCAGATAGGAGCAATTTGGCCACCTTCACAGGTCACGGGGATCAGGAAGGGCCGGAGTTTGTCCCTCAAAGGTGACGGTGGGGAATTCAGGCCCCGCGCACAGAACGGCCTCGGCTTCCGTCGGCAAGCAGACAAGGTGCTAGTCCTTGGGAGGCTCAAGATAGCCCACCCACCCGCCCTCGCAACTTCCCTAGGGAAAGCCAGCCCTTCTCAGGATTCCAAAGGCGTGCTAACTTTCTGGGGAGAGGAAGGGAGAGGTTGAGGCCATAAAACTTGCCCAGGTCTTAAAAACACACCCTGGGAGCGTCCTTGGAGTTCAAAGGTCCAGTAAGGGGTGTGCAAACTTCTCAGGAGTGCGAGAGAGAAAAAAGAAGCATCTGGCGAGATTGCCTCAGGGTCCCTGGGCACCCTCCGGGGCAGGGGTCTCCAACTGTGGCCCCTTTAAGACTTGTGGACTTCAACTCCCAGAATTCCTCAGCCAGCATAGCTGGGAGTTGGGGGCCACAGTTGGAGACCCCTGCTCCATGGGGCCAACAGGCCCCCGTTCTCTGCCTGAAGGGCCTGGCCGACTGCTGCTGCCAAGGGTGCCAGGACAGCACCTATGCGCTAGAACCGGGTTGTTAACATTCTAAGCAGTTTGGAGAACCGGTTGTTAGAAGAAATTACAGGGCTAATCCTGTAAGGAAGGCAGGAAGGAAACATTCTGGTGTTGCTTACAGAAACTGCCTCTCCGTTAACCCTTATTACATTCTTGGCAGGACCAGACTTCCTGTCTCAGGAACCTCTCTGGAGTTTTTTTTCCCCCTCTTTTGCTGGTACTTTGCTTGTGTGGAGTGACCATTCAAAGGCACTGAAAAAAGTGACTTATGACCCTTTTTCACACTTCTGACTGTTGCAACACCCCCACAGTCACGAGAGGCCAGGCGAGGAGATGCGTGCCTCGATGTGATATTGAGTTGGCCATAACATAACCACCAAGCCATGACCACCAACTGAGCCACGCCCACAGAACCGGTTGTTAAAACATTTGAATCCCACCCGCTGGACACAACGTGCCCAGGACCCCAAGGTTGGCTGGCCTTGCAGCCAGCGGGCAGACCTGTTGGGGCTCGCAAGAGGATCTTGGCCAAAACAGGGAGGCAGAGGGGGGGGGAGAGGAGGCGGCGAGCCTCGGAAAGGGGCGGGAAAAGGGATCCCACAGCCTGGGAAAAACCTGCACGGGGCCTCAGGTGAAAAATTCAAATGAGTAATTATACCACAATTAATTGTCCTCTGCTAACGTGCAAGCACATTTCAAATGAAAATAAAAGCAGCGGGCACGAGGAAAGGAAGGACTGAGTTTGGTCTCAGGGAAAAGCAGCCACTCAGCTGAAGCGTTCCCAGGGCAGAGCCGCCTTTCCCCTCGTCTCCATCCTTTCTCTGGCTTGAGGGGGGCCCTCCTGAGAGAAGCCAGCAGCTCCACCTTTCGAGAGCCGTAGCCAAAAGGGCCCCCTTGGCCACCTCCCCCCCCCACCCTGCAGCAGCACAGCCAGCCCCTGAGCTGGCCTGCTGACCTGTCCAGAGAAGGAACGGGGTAGGCCCATCCAAGGCCAGAAACGGGGCAAAGGAAGGGTCGGTACCAGAAGGGTGGAGATGTAGGCCTGGAAAGGGTGGGAGGGGGAGAGAAGGGGGCCGTAGCCCGCTCGTCTGCTCTCACCCACCCCTCACATTTCTTCCTTACAAGCTGCGGGGGGGCGGGGGTGCAGGAGGGTGCTTTCTATGCATTGTGGGAAATGAGAGACCAGCGAGGAGGGAGCCGGCTTGTTTTCTTGTTCTCAAAAGCTTTTCCTGGGGAGAGAAACCTGTTCAGCCAGCTGGATCAGTCACAAGAATGGCAGCTGGGCCAGGGAAGGTCTCGGCAAACGGGGTGGGTCTCCCCTGTGGGACCTCTCAGGCTCTGGAGATGGGTGTGTGTGTGTGTGTGTGTGTGGAAGGACCCTGTCCTGCCGGCTGCTGTTTGCTGCATCCCACTGGGGATCCAGGGATGGCAGCCGTGCCAAGGAGAAGCCCCTGGGCTGCACCACCCGGGCGACCTTCCCCTTCAGGACAGCCAGGGAGGGGAGGCGCTTTCCGGTGTCCCCCGCCCCCAAGTGAACCGCCAGACCTGACCCCCTGGATCCATTCCCCACCAACGGGGGGCTGCAGCAGGCTCTGGCCGCCTATCCCGGCCGCCTACGGGGCTCCGATGCGTACCTGCGTCCTCCTGCCCTGTCCAGCCGCCACTCCGCTTCCTCAGCAGCCCCATCCTCTCCTTGGAGACCTTCACGTACTGGCTGCAGTTGCAGGCCTGTTTGGAGGCAGAGGGGGTGGGGGGGGGGAGAGGGAAGGAGCCTTCGTGAGAACCGCCTGCGCTCCTTGGAAAGGGGGGGAGTCCAGGAGAGCAGAATCGACCCCGGGGCAACCAAAGGCCAAAGGCCTCCTCGTCCTGGCACAGGGGGCTCTTCTCAAGCTACCTCAACTGTCATGTCTGAGGAGGAGACCTACTTTAAGGGCCACAGCACTGCCAGGGTATCTCCCAGGAAGGGAGGGAGGGAGGGAGGGAGGGAGGAAGGAAGGAAGGAAGGAAGGAAAGGGAAGGGAAGGGAAGGAAGGAAGGAAGGAAGGAAGGAAGGGGAGGGAGGGAGGGAGGGGAGGGGAGGGAAGGGAAGGGAAGGAAAGGAAAGGAAAGGAAAGGAAAGGAAAGAAGGAAGGAAGGCTGGAAGGAAGGGAAGGAAGGGAAGGGAGGAAGGAAGGCTGGAAGGAAAGGAAAGGAAAGGAAAGGAAAGGAAAGGAAAGGAAAGGAAAGGAAAGGAAGGAAGGAAGGAAGGAAGGAAGGAAGGAAGGAACGGCTTCTCCAGCCAGCACTCCCCCAGGTGTGTTGTTCCAGAGGGGCCTTTGGAAATGAAGTGGCCGGAGTTGCTTGAGGGCTGGGTGGTGAGATGGGGGGCTCCGTGCAGGCCAGGCTGCCTAGGCACCCACTTTGAAGAGTTAGGGTCAGCCTGACTGCACCTGGGAAAGGGAGGCCGCCTGCCCTTTGGGGGAGCCCGGCAGAGACCCGGGAGCCAGGCTGGCATGGTGCCCACTGCCATTCCCCTGCCTCTGGGCCCCAAAGACCCGGCGGGGGTGCAGCTATCCTGGGGCACCCCGTCTGACTCTCCCGGGGAATTTCCCCGCTTTGCTCACCTGTACGGCAATTCTTGTTGCCAAACACTCTTTTCTGGGAAGGGCAGGGCAGCCCTGAGAATGACTCTCTCTCTCTCTCTCTCTTTCTCTCTCTCTCCTGAACCCGTCCCACTTGGACGGCAGGAGGGAACCTGCGCCCAGCCCGAGCCCTGGGAACGCTTCCCAGCGCAGGTCCCAAGGATGACACGGCTCCTGCCGTTCCGATGGGAAAATGTCTCAGAGGGCTGGGCCAGTTGAAGGCCGACACCTTGTCAACCGAGAAGCGCACGCACGCACACACACACACACACACACATGGGGAAGCCGCTAGGCAGGTGTGGCGCGGCAAGGCTCGCCAGTCCAACCTGGGCTGGTGGGAGCCCGGCACTCTTCCTCTGCAGCTGGAGAGACCCAGTGGATCCCATTTCCTTGAGGAACCCCACGGGCCTCGCTTGACCCTGGGCAGCTGCTGGGAAGGAAGGACCCCACGTGGGGGGTTGCCATCTCCCCCAAGCAGGGCACGGCGGGGTGGGTGGGTGGGGGGCTCTGGGAGAGCTGGCAGAATCTCAGCTACTCCTCCTAAGCCAGAGGATGGGGAAAAGGTCTGAAGACGGTTGCCCGGGGAGCCAGGCGAGGAAAGGGGGAATTGCGTAAAGGGCAGCTCCGGGGAAGTCCTCCCCCCGCCCCCC